AGCCACATGTCCGCCACAGACACATTTGCCTCAAAGGACAGTCTGGAAACGGGTATATTTTCTGGTCCATCATGGACTGCAAAATGTTTGCAAGAGGCTGCAGTCAAATACAGGTGTTTATCCTCGTAGGAAATTCGGCCGTGTAGAGGAAATCCGGACAGACCGCGCACGAAGGCATTTGACAGAGCACCGGTTAAAAATGGATCTTCACCCAGTGTTTCCTGAGTACGTCCCCAAAGTGGATGACGCATTATATTGACAACAGGTGAGAAGCAGTGAATGCCCTTGTGGTCCTAAATTAATTCGAAAAGGAAATGTATAGAGCATGATGTACATCGAAAATATTTATGTAACATTGAAAAATGACGTCAATCCTACAAAAAAACGCGTTCTAACAAGTCTTTGAGGGCACATGTTTGTCAAGTAAAGATAATAAGTTATGTGAACACGAATTTACACTGCAATAATAAGAATACGTAGAAGGTAGGCTAGGATTATTAGGAAAACAAAAAAAACTAACATAAATCTCAAAGGCCTAGTTTAAAAAAAAACTGCTATAAAGTTCGAGATACTTTGGGGAGTGAAAAGGCAAGAAATTCATTTAATAAAGTTCACTAACTCACTTCGTACTGGCCGGTCTTTACATAGTAATTGTACTTTGCTCGTGCTTCAAACGCAGTGGCAAGAGAGACATTATATATAAGTCTCCGATCGAATGATGCAGCTAGGTAAATAGCTTGAGGAAAACTTGTAGCATCTCCATCTTCTGCGTAGCCATGCAGACATTCAGAACGCCACTGGTAGGGTCTAATGCACAGACGAGGAATTGGTGGTGCGGGACCATGAGTACTCCCGGCACCACCTTTAAGTAACTGGTTGACTAACTCTTCTTCATCAAGCTGCCCGATCAAGTCATCAACGCGAACTTGTCGCGAAAGGGAGGCATTTCGGAAGGCACTTCCTTGACAGTCTTGTTGTGCAGTTGTTCGAATGAAATGGCTTAAAGAAACAAAACCACATTTAAAATACGCGGAAAGTAAATTTATGGGAAATGATGAAGGAGAAATTCATATGAGACAGCAATATTTTACAAATGCAACAAAAAATGAAAGACTTACAGGCAACTTAAATATAAAACTATGATCATCAGATATTCTAAATGAGCCATGAAGCGAAGAGCGAAACCGTGAGTTTTCACTTCACATAAAAGAAAAAGAAAATTACTAAACAGCAAAAATTTTAATGAGCAGCGACAAAAGGGCTATGAATTGAAACATTAAAGAAAAACACACAGAGAAAAACATGAAATTATTTCCATTACAGAGTATGTGGGGTTCATCGCGCCTACGCTTCAAAGTGCCCTTCGTTCCCTAGGAGAAGCAGAACCTATTGTGCCAGATGAAGCTCCAGCTGCAGTTGTATCATGATACATCCCTGGTTGTTTTAACTGATGTTCTCCTTTCATCCTTTTTTTTGGCCCCACTGTTCTTTGTCGTACTTACCGTTTTATTATTCATATTTCATCAGTAGAAGGCAGGGAACGGATCCGTGGACAGCCCTTCCTTGCAGTCACCGGACATGTGGGAGTTTTCAGGTTAGACCAATCCCCCCGCCAACGCAAGGGCACTCCCGTGAACGGTACAGATCATGTTTCAAAAAGGGCGTCGCATTTTTTCTTGAATGCGGCAACTGTGTCGGCAGCAACAATGTCGGGGGAGAGATTGTTCCATGCATTCACAGCGCGCCTTGAGAGTCGGTAG